ACTGCCTAGTCCTGAGCAAGCTTACAATTGTTGCTATGCTTGAGCCCACTGCTACCATCAATGTGCCAATCCATTTCATTGGAGGTCTTCCTTTTTTTCTCCAGCTCTCCAGTCCTATTTGTAAAACACGATGAATTTGTTCAATACGCATGTAATGATTGCTAACTTGATGCAGGCATTGTTCTAGTCACACAGTATTGAACAAGACATACTAAGACCCTGTTCTCAGGAAAAATACAGTCTAATATAGGTGGTGGTGTTGTTAAGTGCCATCGAGTCGACTCCAAACCATAGTGAACCTATATAGGGTTTCCAAGGAACAGCTGGTGAGTTTGAACCGCCAACCTTGCAGGTCAAACAGCTTTGCAGTCGGGCGCATTAACCCATAATGACACACCAGGACTCCAATATAGGTGTAATGACAGTAAAAACCATGAACAAAGGTGGTGAAAGAGGAATGAGTTGGTATGTTGCTTTAATTGCATGAGGGAGAGAACATTGGGTGAGAGAGAAACGTAGTTGTAAAGTAGGAAGAGTTAAAATTACATTATATATTGTAGTTAATAAAGTACCTGGATTTATTCTCATGGCTTTGGGGAACCAGGAGAGAATTTTAACCATATTTTAGATGGTCAAGCTGGCTATTAAATGAAAAACAGACTGTAGGAGACAACTATAGAAGGAAGAACAAGTTGGAGTCTGTTGCAGTAATCAAAGACACAAATTTTAGTTGCCCCTAACCCACTGTCATCAAGTTGATTCTTTCTGTTCCCTGCAGTCTATTCATTGATTAACCAAAGTTATCCTCTAAGTTATTAATCAAATCACATCACTTGTCTATAGTTAAAATTCTCCAGTGGTTCCCCCAAAAGCAACTAAATATACAAGTATGTAGAAAAGAAGAAAATCAGTCAGAGCTGGAGGTTTGGATGTTAACAGGATATGTTATTGTTGTTAAGTGCCATGGAGTCAGTTCTGACTCGTAGCAACACTGTTTAGAGTGTTTCCAAGACTTTAGACATTTGCAGAAGCATAAAGCCGCATCTTTCTCCTGAAAACGGGATGTGGGTGATATTTAAGGTCACTGGGCAAATAAAATATTAGGAAAATGTATACCTAAGGTAAAGGAAGGACCAAGACGCCTAATATAAGTTAATACTTTCAAGTCAAGCAGAGTTTAGAACTAAAGATTTTCCAACAACTAAGAAGAAATTTAGAAGATGGTGTCATAGACGTTGAAGAATGCTTCAAGAAGAGTAATCAACAATCCAAAATGCTTTTCTGAAATGGAATAAGAACACAACTCACACTAGATTTCTCAAGTTAATAACCTTAACAAAAACTGTTTTGAATATCCTATCCATTCCCTACAACACAAAAACATACTCCAAACTATCAAGAGATTTTTTATTAACTATGCAGATTAACACACTTGATACGCACTTTTGAGATTTTATATATTCATTAAACCATCGGACCTTGGTAATTTTAGAACTATGCAATTAAAAAATTGTTGCTGTTAAATGCCACTGAGTCAGTTCCGACTCATAGTGACTCTGTATATGGTTTCCAAGGAGCAGCTGGTGGGTTTGAGCTGCCAACCTTGTGGTTAGCAGTCCAGTGCTGATCCTACAGAAAGCCACACCAG